GGACATGCCATTCCAGTGGTGGGGTACTGAGGAGACCAGAGATGCATGACACATCTCCCTTGTCAACACAATGTAGGCACATGAGTACTAGATGGCTCTTCTGATACCTACACCACAGTATCAAGCTGGGGTGGCTTAGCACATCTGTTGCTGCACTTGGGGAGGAAGGCCAAGGTTAAGGGCATTCCTATGATGGTCATTTAAATCTCAGGGCTACTGCTGCAAAGCTAGTTCTGCCCCTTTTAGGGGCCCTGCGGCATTTCTGTTATTTGCTACTTCTCTCTCTGGTCATCCCAGGAAGAAAAGCAGTCCTTCCAGCTCAATTACTAAAGGGCTCTGAGACTCTGTATGGAGTGGAAACAAGTTAAGGGCATAACATAAATGAATAAAATGATAAATCATGGCTACCCAGGCACCAATGGGAGAAAAAAATGCTTCTCAGCAAAACCTCCTTCTCCCAAATCCAGCAAAGCCCTATGCTACCCTTTTAGGGTTGTAGAAGCAACTTTCCTTTGGAGGTTACAAGAGGGATAGGGAGAGGAATTGACTTGCTCTGTACCGCTACTTTACCACCTCCAGAAAATCAGGCCAGAGCCCATGCATGTCCTAGTGAGAAGGGCCGTGATGCAGCAGGATGTGCCAGGCTGTGGTGGTAGGGCCTCTGCTGGCCATCCTCTCTCTCCTGGGAGGGTAGGGGAAACAGGAGTGACAGAAGTCCAGTGGGGGGAGGGAGAGCAGCCAGCCAACTGCTCTCAGACTGCTGAGGTAACCCCAGGACAGAAAGCAGGGGTAACTGTGAGCATTATATCCCCTTCCTGCAACCACTCCAAAAAGGCTAGGGCTAAACTTTGGAGACACAAGAAAAGAGAGGATTTGGAGGAGAAAATGGTTCAATCTAGCTTCGCAAATGGAATATTAACAGTGTGTCACAGTACATCTGGCTTCACAAAGCAGCAGCAGAGCCCTCTCCTCACCCAAGGTATAAATAGATCTAAAAAATATTAATCTCATAGTCACGCTAAGGTGATGGGCAAGGTAAGGAAAATACATTCAGGGATGATAAAAATGTTTCAATATGTCTTTAGGGAACTGATATCTACCTTCGAAATGGATTAATCCACATCCAAAGGACTCTGGATGCTAAAACCGCACTGCAGTATAAAACGGGAATGCATCAATAACGGCCTTTATCATGACCAGCATTCCTTCCCACAGCTCCTGAAACCTACCCTACAAGAACCCACTAAAGCAATCCTGTACTATTAAAAGCACACACACAGATCCCCAGCTTTGTCATATCTAGTGTTTTTTTCCCTTTGGAAAAAAGAAACAAAGTCAAGATTTGGGGGCCATGAGCAGGAAAGGACAGCAGAGGGTGTGTCTCGCAGTCAGTCAGGTGGGAGCTGAGCAGCTTTGCCAGGCTGGTTTCTACAGCGCTCAGGATTAAGCCTCGAGTTCTACTTTGCAAGCACAAGGAGCGCTGTTAGGACAATGTTGGGGAACCAAGTCTCACATTTCCCTGCTGGTACACGGTGTCAGTCATTTACACTGCAGTCGAAAATCACAGCTCCTCCTGCTATGCAGCAATGCTTATGCTGATGGGATTGGAGCACCAATCATCACAGATCTGTCACAGAAAAGGGAGCTCTGGTTTTGCTGCAGTTTCTTCTTATTCAGACATTCTTTCTTCAAAAATGAATTTGTTTGGAGACTACTAAAACAAACAGACCTTCCCTTTTGTAATTTCACGTTCTCTTAAATGGAATTTGTCAAGGTATTCCTTTGTCAACAGTATTGGTGATTTCACACTCTCTAAAACCTTAATTAAGTTTGGAAACACTGTGACTTTACCCTGTCAGAACTGAGGAATACTGCAGAATGCAACACTCACTATTATCACCACAGGTATGAAAAACATGAAACACTGCTTAGCTGGAGTGGCAAATACAGGCAACAGAAAGAGGGATGGTAAGACCATTATTCAAATACAAATTGCCTGAAACTGACAGGGAGCTAACACCTTTCACCTAGCTCATCCTTACAGAGAGGAGAAGGGGAGACTCTGCCCTGCAGGACCCCTCGCACCTAGACTTAAAGAGGTCATGACCCGCTGAAAGGACATGTCAGAATGCCTGGCTCCATCCTAGCTTACAGTACATGAACGTAACAACTCTGCCCATCCCAGGAGACTTCACCCTTCACGCCGAGTCAACACAATGGACCCAAAAGCTCAACTTGCAAGATAGAGTTTATTTTTAAATGTTTGTTTATAAAAGCTTATCATCTTCAACACAGGCCCGGGAAGACTCCAAGCACAGCTCAGTAAGCAATTTCTGGCACAGCTGAAAAGGAACATCTCTGTGAGTTAGGTTGCTAAGGCAAAGACAAGACAGACTTTGCTGAAAGCTCAATCCATTAGATCAATCAGTCACCAGCAAGCCGGCAGAGAAAGAAATGGAGTCAGATGCAGACAGAGACACAGCGCAGCACAGATTAGGAGTCAGGTGGTCCAGATTTAGGGCAAAATCGACTGCTTTCCAGATGTACAACTTTGAGAAAGTTATTTAACCGCAATTAAGCCTTCCTTTACTTAACTGTAACATGAGCTGATTGCACTAAACTCTAAGGCCAGCACCAGAACTCCAACTCCATGAGAGGTGGGAACAGGTGAGAAATCAACACTGTCATTACCACTATGACTACTGTTCAGGTGCAAAATAATCCATAACCTGAACCACAAAAGAAAGAAAATAAGCTTTGTTTTTGAAGGTGGCCAAAATACATATTTTATATACAAAATAACTAAAACCCACAAAGAGCCAGAATGAAAACCAGAGACAAATAACATAGTTTCGTAGGAATGCTACTTCACCTCACCATAAAGGAGAAGCATGCTGTCCTTTGTTTTCTAAAAATTCACCCTATATTGGAAGGAGCAAATTTTTATGCTAAAAAAGAAAAAGAAAGCATAAGGCAAGGCATTTCAGAAGTATTAATACAAAATACTTTGAATTCTATTTTAACCATATTTGCCATCAATTTCTTAAAAGGAACATTTGAAGCCATCTACATATAAGTGCTAATTAAATCTTCGAAAATCTCAAAATTTTTCTCTTCTAACAATAAAACACGGCTGTAAATAGGCAAGGCAGTGCTCCTAAAGGTGTCTTCAAACTTAATTGAAAGAAAATAATTCGTGCGGTCCACCCCTTATCACAGTGTTCCTGGTGACGCCATTTTACTCCTTCCTCTCTGCCATCTTAGTACCACGGAATGTTTCCTAGCGAGCTGGCTGACATGCTTGCTTATCCACATTATGGTACTGCCAGAGCAGTCAAAGGTTTGATACAAATACACTTTTTGTTGCAAAAAGAACCAATCCCTGATTCTTCACTATTAGCCAGGCTAAAATTTCATGAGAAAACTGAAGTTTCCAGATTGAAGAGGTTCAGGAATCCCCTACAAGTACGAGAAAGGACAGCCTCTTCCGAGCAGCCAAACTTGAGTAGACCATGGTGGAGGCTAAGAATATAGGAAGAAACTGGGTCTCTGCTACCTCCCCCAGGGTACTTAATACCTAGCCTTATTATAAAGCCAGCAAAAGGAAAAAAGACCAGGATCTTCAACCAAGTTTTAGTGTAAAAATTTCAAAGGGAGGCTTTGTGACACCCCCCATGTCATCCAACCAAGCATTTTATGCAAGCAAATCTGCAGTTAAAATGGAGTTCTAATTTGCTGACCTAAAACTCTTTCAAGGTACAAGCCTCATAAAAACCAAGGGAAAAGAATCCTTTGCATTCTACCATATATTTAAACATGTTAAATGCTGTCCCCAGAATTAAAAAATTATGCTGAGATTTAGGCTCTTATTCTGTAAATTAATATTTGTGCCACAGATTTATGGATCTTGTAGGATTCTAACCAGGGCTTAAAACAACCGAACCTTCCTATGTCAATGAAAAGGCTGATGTGAAGAAAATCATTTTCTCCCTAGCTTCCAACATATATTAATTAGAGAAGACAGCACTCACTGAGTAGGATAAACAGGAGCTAGTGCAACAAGACCTAGAAGAACAGCTGGCTTTATAAATTTGATATCAAGTTAAAAGGATTCTCAGATACCCAGTTCTGTGAAGCTTCAACTCCTGAAACAGCTAATAAAGCATGTTGAGCAAATTCTTCATGGTAAAGTTTACTATAAAATACACTCACTATAAATTCTTCAGGGTTTAAAAGATAAAAATTCTTCAGCCTTTAAAGGAAACACAAATCAAAGTTAAAATCCACTTCTTTCCTCTTAGTAACAGTACAAAGAAACAAAGAAATAAGCTGGGTCAAATCCAGTTAATTTTAATAATCAAGATTTATAAGCTTACAATTACAAACAGGAGTTTTACACAAGCAGCTTTGAAGTCACAACTATTAATTAAGTAGAAGGCATTAAAAATTATTCCCATGAGTGAGAGTGAAAGCCTCAATCTATTGATCTTTGAAAACAAAAATCCTGTTTTGTCAAAACATTTGTTTCTTGTGTATTTTAATCAGCTATTACAGGTCATTAACCTGGAAGCATTTGCATAAAAAACAAGAGCAAAAATAAGAAACTAAAATTAAAATCCAGCAATTCTTTTCAGGAATGGAAAACAGAGTGCTTTTAAAAGACAGGGAAAAGAAACCTGAACTCTTTTAAATTTACCATATTCAGATTTCCTTTTCCTCTCAAGTGTTATTTCCATTCATGACTAGTGATAAATTCATACTTCTCATTAACTTAAACTACTGATGAATAATTAAAATCAGGTGCTAAAATCACTCATAAAACCTATATTTCAAGTATATATATCACATCTGGTTTTTGAGAAATACATTAAAAAAAAATCCAAGAACCTCTGTGTTATACTTTTCATATTTGCAGCGTTCATTTAAAAGTCTATTTTGCACATTCAACCAAAAGCAAATTTTCAACCTCTCCCCGCTATATGAGTAAAAGAAATACTTACTGTAGACAAAAGAATTCCATTTTCTTTATGGGAATATTCTCCACCTTCCTAAAGAACTCTTCTATACAATGTGCAAATTCATTTTCTTAGTTTTACAGTAACAAAGCTTCTGTGCCATAGAACCTAATGTAAATGAAATGGCCTTGCAGCTGCCTTCAGAATCCAGCTCACCTCGACCATGATACAGCTAATTGTTAAAAATGGTGGCTGAGACATTTTCCATACATTAAATTAAGGAGCTCTGATGAAGGCGCTGGCATCCACCCACTTCAGACAAAGGAGAATAATTTGCAACTGTACCAAGGCATGGATAATTGAGTCATCTCCCATACAGGGTCAGTGTTAGAGGTTTCCTCCATCTTTACAAAATGCAAACCACATCTCATTGTCTCATCTCAGAAATCGATTCTTTGCAATGCTGCACTGGGTCAGAGTTTCAAAGGAATCTTAGTCATGGGTAAATCCAGAACTCCAATGCCAAGAGGAGCCGAATTCTCACAGTTCCTTTCCCTCTGCTGAGCAGCTCTCCTCTATTCCACAACTGACAGCTCCTCAAGTCTTCCTATTGTTAACAGTAAAGAAAGTCCCCACACCTCCAAAAGGAAATAAACCCCTCAACTAGGGTGAACAATTTCCAAGTACAAGCTTCAGAAAGAGGTCCAGACCCCACAGGTCCCACAATACAAATACATTCTTTAGGATAAAAAGCCATATACATCATCATATTTTGTTGTTGCTTTTAAGGGAAGACAACAAACAAGCTGCTTTTTAATGCAGAATTAAATGTATCTTTGATATTAATCAAGGTACTAAAAGTATTACAGGCAACATTTATAATTCTATCACCCTCCAGATAATGCTTATACGACTTAGGAAGTTTTCATTTCACTTACACAAATTATATTCTTTAGCCAAAAATTTGAAATATACTTAAAGGACTCCTATCACCTCTTTTGAGGCTGAATTTAAGAAATAAAAAGGACCATCTCAATTTAAATTGCCAATATTTAGTAAATACTTAGGAATCCTCATCTTTGGTGTTACTATTTAATTCTTCTCATTTCAAGCCTTATGCTAAAACATTTCGTGAGATAGTTCAAAAAATTTCCAATGGTACTTTTTCCCTAATCACCAAATATAAAGGACTGAATTCCTAAAGAATCCTACACACACCACACACACACACACACACACACACACACACACACACTCACTCTCACCTGCAATCTCAAAGAAGGATCTGGTTTTAGCAAATAAAACAAATTCTATTTTCATATTCCACCTCATGCAACAATTCTGCACTTCACATGTATCTCCTTTAAAAATCCTAAAGACCACACTACTTGCTACTTAAATAAGAAGTTCACAAAAATCCTAGTAACCAACTATTCAAATCTTTAAGCAAATGCTGCCCCACCCAATAGATTTTTAAAAGAAAAATATTAGAATGGCAAGATACAAATCTGAACAATTCTCAGAAGAATCAAGTACTACTTCTATCAAATGAATTAACTACTTCCAAATTTATCTCAAATTTTCAAACAAACCAAGACCTTGTCTTTCAGAGGCACTGCAACAACATGCTGCCACTCTATTTACCAGGGTGCATTTGTCTTAATTTCTTAAAACACAGGCAATCCTACCTGCAGCTCTTAAATTTAAGGAGTTACAGAACGGTCGATGCTGTCGGTCACTGCAGCTCTTCCACACCTTCTTATATGAGATGAGCTCTGTCGGAACCAGTGCTCAAGTTTTTCCCACCCCAAACTGCCTGAATTGTGGGATGGGGGTGGGGAGAAGAACAGAGAGAAGAGAAAAAGAGAGAAAGAAGAAAAAGGAAAAGAACAACCCCTCTGCAAGTGCTGATGTGACTGAAGCACTAAAGAGTCAAATTAAACAATGAGATTGCAGGGTCCCTTTAAAAAGGGTGCACTACAGCCCCCGGAGCACAGCATCACCATTCGTTGTGCTCTACACAAATTCAAAGAAGTCAGCCGTCAGTTTGAAAGCACAAACTGATGGGAGTAACAGTTTATAGGTTACAGAAGGGTATTTTATTGTTAACGGACTGTACCAAGTTAAGATTTAAGAGGGGGAGAGAAACATGTAGGCAAGGAATGCTATGATACTTTTTTCCCCCAACCCAAACCACTGCAATTACTCTGATGTGAATTTTTGATGACTTCCGACATCTTGCACGGTTAATAATCGCTTCAGCTGTCATGTTTGGTTAATGTGGAAAATGCATTTGCTGCATTGTGATGCAGTGCTGTGGCCACAGATTGTAACACCAGTTGTGAAGCTGGTCCCTTAACTGAGCAGCAGGAATTTGCACATGCCATGATGCTAAAATAAATGGTAGTTAAAAGATTTTATACAGCAGCAGACAGATTCTGCCATTTTAGTCTACAGTATGTGTAGATACAACATACAGAAGCATCTCGGATCATTGTGCCCTTGTCAATTGTACTGTCCTTCAAGCAGAACAGTAAATTCGCCATCTTAAATGTTTGGCCTCTTAGTAGTTAAAAGATTTTGATACTGTTTAATAACTATTCAGATTAATTATAGCTTTGAAAAGAACAGAGGTTATTTGCATTTCAGGAATATTCAGCCAATGAAACTGTCACTGACACAGGAAAATGCAGACCTTTTATTAACATATGCTCAGCTCAACTGTCACTTCTTTGTACAACATTTAGGGGAAAATATATGATGTGTAAGTAATGAATATTCCCATTCTACTGCAATGATTTTTAAAAGTGCTACTCAGGAAGGGATTTTTTTTCCTCCATGTTTTAACATATAACTTGAAAATTAAAGACTACATTAAAATATTATGCTTTTCACTGTCAAAAAAGGAAATTCAGTGCAGCAAACAACTGTACAATTACAGGAAAGCTTGTGAAAAAGCAAAGATAGAGCCACGCTAAGAACAAGGCACCAGATGATTAAAGTCAGGCTGGTCAGGTGATGGGCCATCATCATGGTGCAGGAATGAAAAAAAAAAACAGAACCATTCACCCCCCTAAAAAAAAAAAAAAAAAAAAAACCCCACAAACCCTAAGATTGCAATCTGTTGGTTGCAAAACCAACATCTATACTGCAGAACCTGAAAGCCACATAATATTTGCCAATTTCATGATGTATTTTTATATAAATATTAACTTGGCTATTTAGCGTAAAGAATTTGACTACTGACGGTTCTTACTCATCTACCATCATTATTTTTGTATTTTAAGAAGCAAAACCGGGGCCGGGCGCGGTGGCTCAAGCCTGTAATCCCAGCACTTTGGGAGGCCGAGACGGGCGGATCACGAGGTCAGGAGATCGAGACCATCCTGGCGAACACGGTGAAACCCTGTCTCTACTAAAAAAATACAAAAAACTAGCCGGGCGAGGTGGCGGGCGCCTGTAGTCCCAGCTACTCGGGAGGCTGAGGCGGGAGAATGGCGTAAACCCGGGAGGCGGAGCTTGCAGTGAGCTGAGATCCGGCCACTGCACTCCAGCCTGGGAGACAGAGCCAGACTCCATCTCAAAAAAAAAAAAAAAAAAAAAAAAAAAAAAAAAAGAAGCAAAACCAACTTACATTGTTCCTTTAAAAGAACAAATATAATTAACTTATTTCTTACATCAGAACTTTTGCCAATTAAATACCCAGAGTTGAGATGTTTCAGACATTTCTGCCTTACAAAAACAAACAAAAAAACCCAACTAAACTAAAAAGAATGAACATAGGAACACACTGGGGTCTGAACAGTGAATAACAATGAAAGAACTTATGTTACTAGCATAAAAATCAACTCATGATTTCCTTTGTTTTATTCATTGTGATAACACCAAATGCATAATTTGGAGGTGCATGTGTTAACAAGCACTGTAAAGCTGAAGAGCTTTCTAGTTTTCTTACCCCAACTTAAAATTAACTGCACCAACAGTGCTATGTGGTGCCATAGCAGATGTCACAGTAGTTGTAGCTAACATTCAACAATCAAGCTTTTTTTGTTCCAGACCCAATACAAGGTACCCCAACAGCTGAGAAAACGGCACAAGGAGGGAGGGAGAAACGTGTGTGTTGAGGGTAGCTTTGAAATTAACCAGGCTCAGCTTATGCTCCAATTACCGAACAAAAGACAATCCTGGGGGACCTCTCTCTGAACCAGTGCAAGAAGCAAACTCTTTTGTTTCTGATCAAATAAATACTGTACTGGAGCATGGTGGATATACAGCAATAGGAGTCTCTGCCTGGGGATGAAAAGAACCCAAAGACCCAAGTGTGGTTAAAGTCAAACTATTTCACGGATGTAAAACCTGTTCCCAAGGGACACATCTGAGGTTCACTACAGGGGAGTAAGAAAACCCTCTTTATTTACTGAAAATAACCTCACCAAGTCACTGTTAAGACATTTTTCCTCTTTAGTATTGCCAGCATAAATTAAGAGGGTATTTCTTTATGCTAGCTAGAATAAATTCTAAATCAGCTCAGCCCCTTCTTCTTCCATCTACAAGTATCCCAAGGAAACTAGATGAGAGTCTGCGAGTTGCAAGATATGATGGCTGGAAAGGACCTCAGAGCAGAAGTGCCTTCAGACCCCAGATGCCTGAATAGGCAAGGAGGTCACAACAAAAATGCTGCAAAGAAGTCACCTTACAAAGGAGGTGCTTCTCTACTCATTTGTCACTAACTGAACATAAAGTGATCTACTCCTAAATTTGGTAGTCCATTGTTTAATTTTGTATTTTGGCTTTATATAACCCTAGACACCAAAAACCAACACAAAAAGAAAAGGGTTAAAAACTAACGGATCCAGCATTTATTAATAAAAGGGATTAAAGTGGGCTCACTTAAACAAATGTAGAGATTATAGTCTAGAAAAGAGAGCTACTGAACTTTTGTGGTTCAAGTAGAGCTATAATAATTGCCAGGTAAAATAACATTCAAGTGAACAACTGTAGAGTTCTGTAGTACAGTGACCATATACAGGATTTACCCAGAAAAACTTTTACAGATACCTGGTGGGCTCTGCTCTGTCTTCTGCCAGGTTCTCCAGGCTGCTGGGAAGATCAAGTAATAGTACTGGTGGGTAAGTGCTTTTAAGAGTAAAGAAGGAAGTCAGGTGAGGCTGGGTGATGACTCCCTCTATGACCAAACTCCCAGCTTTCTGAGATATAGCTGGGATAGCTGGGTCCCTGCTTCCTTTCCACCCCACCGCTACCAACCTCCTCCTGGCTTCTTCTCGCTAAGACCTGGGCCCTTTGCCTCCTGCTAAACATTTCTCCTATTACACATTCATTTTTACTGCCACAATTCTCTCTAGGCCCGTGGCTCTCGAAAATTCTGTATGGAGCTGTTTTCTGAGCAATTTTCTTACCCCATCTCCAAATGCTTCAGGAGCATTTCCACAGTGATAGCTTACCAGAACATCAGAAATGGAAATGAAATCTCAACTCTCAATCTAGTTAATCTTCCAATTCCTTAGCCTCAACAAAAAGCACCCATCCTTCTCCTTGCCCCAAACCTCACGCAATTTCTGAACATCCTTCTTAAGCTCATCAGGCAC